CAAAATGCTCATCAGGGCAAGATGTTCAATAAATCTTTATATAAATATTCATCAAATATCTGATCCTGATGAGCATTTCCATGTAGAACTTTTCAGTCAGTCTATCAGACAAATCATATATATATATATATATATTATTATATATATATATATATATATATATATATATATATATATATATATATATATATATATATATATATATATATATATATATATATATATATATATATATATATATATATATTATTATATATATATATATATATATATATATATATATATATATATATATATATATATATATATATATATATATATATATATATATATTATATATATATATATATATATATATATATATATTATATATATATATATATATATATATATATATATATATATATATATATATATATATATATATATATATATATATATATATATATATATATATATATATATATATATATATATATATATATATATATATATATATATATATATATATATATATATATATATATATATATATATATATATATATATATATATATATATATATATAAAAGTTGACTGTAGTCAAAATCATAGAGTGAATACGAATGATCTTTTCTTTAGCTGCATAGTATATGCTTTACCAGGGTTATGCACAATTTTTAATTCAGAGTTTTCCTTCTCATAGACCAGGCTATAGAACACAGTCTGTCCTACTATATACCCATAGATTTGAGTGTGGGGGGTGGAGAGACGAGTTGGATTCATACTTTTCTCAAGGGTATTAGCACATAAGTGAATGTAATGATCTTGACTGGAATTCAAACTCTGCCCTTCCTGATTCATATTAACACAAAACCCTCCCATCCTAGTTCCCAAATCATCTTTTGGGATATCCTTTCTTGTGTTAAAAGATAAGTAACCATTTTTTTTTTTAAGTGCAAATCCAAGGGTCCATTTTAACTCACTATACAGCTTTGAATAGCCATGTTCTACTATACACTAGCAGATAAGTGCAATGACAAAGCACTCTCCCAAACAGAGAAAAATAAAAATGCTGAGAATATGGGGATGTGTCTGTGTGTCACTAAGTGCCAGAAACGCTTCATTGAAAAGAACTAATTAAGTGGAGGAGACAAGAAATGATTCATTCCTTCTCAACTCTTCGTCTTTTTTTTTTTTTTCTTCTTCCTTTTTTTTCATCATTATACTTTTCACACAGGAACAAATGTCTCCTAAAAAATTGAATCAGAGAAGGGTTGGCGCCATGAAGCCATGCTAAATAATACATCATTATTAAACAGAACAATTTAATGGCAATAACTGCAAAACTTAAGAAACCAAATTAGATTTATAATTAAAAGGAAATTCAAAAATCTATCCGAGTTACACACAGATGAGCATCACCTTGATTGTTATTTACATCATTTACAGCCAAACTAATGTTTGTTGTGACTATCACAATGTTTCAATCATTGAGCGCTCTGGCCTTCTACAGGTGTCTGCCAATTTAGGTCTGCAGAAAGCCAGAGCATGCAAAGACTGAAACATTGGGATAATAACGACCAATTGATTTGTTTTTTTTTTAAGGCTTATCAACCCTTTGTGGGTTATTTAAAGCTGAAACATATTTTAGATTGTAAAATTAATTTTTTTTACTTTTTTTGTAAGTGGATATTGCATGAACATCCTTCGAATATCTGGTTTGGTGCTCCTACTATATATTTAGAGATTGTTGATAAAACCCCAAAGAAGAATTGGCAATGTTATTGGTCCTAACCTGGCATCTCAGCATCGGTCACTTTTGAACTGCCTATTCTATAAATATTTTCATGGTAATTGTTCTGATAAGAACATCAGAACAATTACCATGACATTATGAATTTTAGCACAGTACTAGATTGGCAACAAGGTTTCATCGTTTTACAGTTGAATTGGCGAGATATAACTGTAAGTTCTTTGCCAACAGTTTCTTTTCTCGCACTCCTCGCTTGTGGAATTCTCTTCTGGCTTCTTGCATTCCAGTCAACTTTGAACTTCAAAAATCTAAATGCACTGTCAATTGTTATCTACTGTATTGTTCTCACTCCTTAATGTTTTCTTTTTTTTTTTATTCAGTAACCCCTTGTGTCTTAGTGGCTTTAATGCCTTGCTCAGTGGTGAAATGATTGAAAAAAGAAATTAAAGAAAAAAAAAAAAAACAATGATTTTTTTCAAGATGCAAGTCTTACTAATTAACCTATAGATGGGGGAAGGAGATAGATTGAGAATGACAACAAAGATGAGGATATTAGTTCAACTGTAAATCCTATAAATAATAACTCCTCATTCCAGAAATTCAGACTGCAATTCCTGAAGGTTATTGTTACAACATTTCAGTTGTCATACTCTTTTGCCCATCTTCAGGACCTTGTAAATTGGAACCTTCTGGGAATTTCTAACTGGACCCTTGATTCAATCATGCAACTTAAGTGGGGGTGAGGGATAGGTTACTTGCTATTTCCCTGTATGCTACCTTCCTTCAATATGTCCTGTGAGTGTTAAATTCTCTAAGCCTTCTTTCCTTATAATTCGTCTGAGAAATTTCAACTGTCTTTTTTATTTTAAGTTTGTCTTTCTAGTTCCCATTCTTTTTAAAAAAATTTTCCATTGCTCACGTGCTCAGTTAATATTTTCAGCATCCATATTGTTATGTAGTGGTTTCACAGTGGAGGCTTGTATTTGTACTAAGTCGGTCCTAAAATAGGTTCGATGTACAAAACGTTAGGAACTTGATATAATAGGTAATGACGCAGTAATCTAGCTGTGGTGGCTGATACTTTAATATCCGACTAACGGTTGTCCAACATCAACTGACTGACCAACTCACTACCGACTGCTGCTACTACTTATTATAGGTGGGAGAGTCTATTAACTATAGAATAGGTGTGTTCCATTATAACACATATGCAGAACTACATTTCTGAGGCTCTCCACAGCTGCCTATCCTTTATAACTCTTAGTAATGGTTTACTGCCTTTTTACCATCTCTCCCAATTACCGTTGTGTCATTGATTCACATGAGCATGTCTTGTAGGTGGCTTGCTGCCACCTCTTTTTTCTTCTATATTCATTAGGACCTTTGAGTGTCAAATTTTCCAAGACCACCTTTCTCATTATGTACTACTACTGTACTGATGCGGCATTCACCCTGGGCGGATTGAGCCGGCTTCTTCCTGTTATGAGAAGAAGATTCTTGGGATAAATTACAGAAGTAGGGTACCCAGGCCTACTCGGATAACGTTCTTGCTTGCTGCGGAGTTCCCACAGACGCAGAGACAGGAACGACCAGAAGCCGCCGGTTACCGATACAGACGCTCCTTGGATTTTCACCAGAGCCTTTGTTAGCCAGCGTGTGTGTCAGACCTGTCCGCCTTGGGTGGCCCTACCAGGAACGAAGTTCCGAGCGGCATAGCTCTGACACTACCGTTTACCCCCCCACCGACAGTGAGGTAAGGGTTGGACTTTGGGGGCTTACAGTACCAGGTGTTCCCAAGCGGTCCCCCATCTAAGTACTGACCTGGCTCTACGATGCTTAACTTCGGTGATCGAATGAGAACCGGTGTTTCAGCGTGATTTAACCGTAACCATTATGCATCCCATATATTTCAGCTTTTTCTTTCTGTTATGGTCCGATTCCTTGTACCACGGTGATAGTCCAAGGTAGAACCAATAAAGAAGAATGCAAACACAGGTATGGAATAAACACAGATATATTACTAACAGGAATATATACAGAGAAGTAGAAGTGTTAGTATGAACAAGCAGGTTTAGTAGAGAGAACAATGTAGTCTTGACCAGTATCACCATTCCAATGTCTTGCAGTAATTGTCTGAACACGACTCTGTTTTGGACTGCCTCTGACTCGACTTGAACTACTGACCAACTCCTCGCCTACTCCTGAGTATTTATTAAGTATGGAATAGTCCATTATTATTATTATGGGTAAGATCCCATAACACTTTCTGATTCTAATTATAAGTGTCCTTTTTGTTTACATTTTCCTTAAGACATCCTCATTGCTCACATGCTCCATCTATGGTATTCTCAGCATCCTTCTGTAGAACCACATTTTTGCTGTCTCCAATCTTACCTTCATCTGTGAGAAATTGTCCAGCAACCACAGCCATATAGGACGATTTACATTACTTAGCAGTTCAGCACTCTTTGTTTTTAAACAAAATTTTCAGGTTTCTTAGTCCTTTGCTTTGCTTTTGGAAGGCATCTTTTGCTATTCCAATACACCTTCGGATTTCCAGGTCACATTTTCCATCACTTAATGTCACTCACTATTGCTACTTTACACAATTCAAATTGATTATTTCAATTTACCACATAAATAGGTGGAGAAAAGAATGAAAGAAAAAAAAATATCTTTAGAAAATTTCATATAAGATCATGTTGAATGAGGACATCCCACATATTGGTCAAAATAAAAATTGCCCAGTCAATATCTTTTGCCAGTGTACACTTGAAACCACCCTATTAATGCAATGGGAGGTGCTGCATGAGAGACAGATCTCCAGGGATTTGATATGCTTTCTTTATGGATGTCACACCCAAATAAGTGATCCTAGCCAAATGGCTAGTATATTTTTATTGATTAAAATATCCTTTTTTGATTTCTATAATATATGCCTATAAACAAACAAATAGAAAATAAAGGGCAAAGGTCGTATTAACTGTGGAAATATTTATGTTTTTATTCAGTATTCTTTTACACTGAGGAAATGTTTTTCTAATATTTTATTTATGCCAAACTTCCTCCAATGATGGAACTGGTAAAATATACATGTCGGTGTGATTTGGATAATTGCTTGACATTCACATATTGCAGGGGGATTATTTTTACTATTTGTAACTTTACATTTCCTGTTGCTTGTTGTCAATGGACAGACACACATACCAAACAGAAAACATTCTACTTTTCAGCCATATGTAAGTAAAAAGAACATTAGAAAAAACTATAAGAGAGAGAATGGGGAGGAAACTATGAGAGAGAGAATGGGGAGGAAATTATAAGAGAGAGAATGGGGAGGAAACAATGAGAGAGAGAATGAGGAGGAAATTATAAGAGAGAGAATGGGGAGGAAACTATGAGAGAGAGAATGGGGAGGAAATTATAAAGAGAGAGAATGGGAGGAAACAATGAGAGAGAGAATGAGGAGGAAATTATAAGAGAGAGAATGGGGAGGAAACTATGAGAGAGAGAATGGGGAGGAAATTATAAGAGAGAGAATGGGAGGAAATTATAAGAGAGAGAATGGGAGGAAACTATGAGAGAGAGAATGGGAGGAAACTATAAGAGAGAGAATGGGAGGAAATTATAAGAGAGAGAATGGGAGGAAACTATGAGAGAGAGAATGGGGAGGAAACTATAAGAGAGAGAATGGGGAGGAAATTATAAGAGAGAGAATGGGGAGGAAACTATGAGAGAGAGAATGGGGAGGAAATTATAAGAGAGAGAATGGGGAGGAAACAATGAGAGAGAGAATGAGGAGGAAATTATAAGAGAGAGAATGGGGAGGAAACTATGAGAGAGACAATGGGGAGGAAATTATAAGAGAGAGAATGGGGAGGAAACTATGAGAGAGAGAATGGGGAGGAAACTATGAGAGAGAGAATGGGGAGGAAATTATAAGAGAGAGAATGGGGAGGAAACTATGAGAGAGAGAATGGGGAGGAAACTATAAGAGAGAGAATGGGGAGGAAATTATAAGAGAGAGAATGGGGAGGAAACTATGAGAGAGAGAATGGGGAGGAAACTATAAGAGAGAGAATGGGGAGGAAACTATAAGAGAGAGAATGGGGAGGAAATTATAAGAGAGAGAATGGGGAGGAAACTATGAGAGAGAGAATGGGGAGGAAATTATAAGAGAGAGAATGGGGATAAAATTATAAGAGAGAGAATGGGGAGGAAACTATGAGAGAGAGAATGGGGGTAGCTATCAGAGACAGAATTGGAGGGAAAAACTAGAAGAGACAGAATTGGGGGAAAAACTAGAAGAGACAGAATTGGGGGAAAAACTAGAAGAGACAGAATTTGGGGGAAAAGCTAGAAGAGACAGAATTTGGGGGAAAAACTAGAAGAGACAGAATTGTGGGAAAAACTAGTAGAGACAGAATTTGGGGGAAAAGCTAGAAGAGACAGAATTTGGGGGAAAAGCTAGAAGAGACAGAATTTGGGGGAAAAGCTAGAAGAGACAGAATTGGGGGGAAAAACTAGAAGAGACAGAATTGCGGGGAAAAGCTAGAAGAGACAGAATTTGGGGAAAAAGCTAGAAGAGACAGAATTTGGGGAAAAAGCTAGAAGAGACAGAATTGGGGGGAAAAACTAGAAGAGACAGAATTGGGGGGAAAGCTAGAAGAGACAGAATTGGGGGAAAGCTAGAAGAGACAGAATTGGGGGGAAGCTAGAAGAGACAGAATTGGGGGGAAAGCTAGAAGAGACAGAATTGGGGGAAGACTAGAAGAGACAGAATTGGGGGGGAACTATAATGGAGAGATAATGCGGGAAACTATGAGAGAGATAATGGGAGGAATTATAAGATAGAATGAGGGGAAACTAGAAGAAGAAGAATGGGAGGGGAACTGTAAGAGAGTGAACTGGGGGATCTATACAAGAGAGAATGGGGAGGGGGAACTATACAAGAGAGAATAACTATAAAGGTAAACACTATTTCTTTATTAGATTGTTTACTTACAAGAATAATTTTATACTTAAAACATTCTATAAAATACAATTAGAATTAATGCAATACAATATTTATCATTTACCAATTTATAAAGAAATGGGAAAACAATTTTTATTCATAAATTTATAAATATTTACTAATTTATTAATTGTTTTACAATGTGTTCCTGTATTGAACACATTTTTGCAGTTAATTTGTGTGTTTATGTGTGGGGGGTGCACAGTGTAATTATTTGCTTTATATGTCAACTGAAAATGTGAAGCCAATTGCAAGTTGCATAAAAATAAAAGAACATATGAGAAATGTCTAGAAAATGTAGTGTTTTTAGAATATTTATTTTGCTTATGCAAAGTCATAGTAACTAAAGCTTGGTGCTTTGCAAACTCACAAAAACAAGTTAAAAGTAGTTGGAATCTCGCCTTTTTCACTCAAAATGTAGTGTTTAGCATCCCAATGGACCTTATTGCACACATGTGGACAGACACTCCTCTGGGTTATTTATTAGGTAGTGAGATGTCACTAAGGAAGTTTGATGATAGTGCAACTGTCACATCAACAACGGACAGGCAAGCACATTCTTTAACTAGATTTTGCTTCTTTTTTTTTTTAGCAAAATGTGGCATCTCTTGGGTTAGTCAGCCCCATTGCAGTTTAGATTTGGTTTAGTGATTTTTCACTTTTTCCAAACCTAAAAACAAGATTTAAGACGGTTAGGCAATATTAAGGAAAATGCAATGAAATAATTCATGACAATTCTGGAAAAGGAATTTGTGGACTTTTTCAACAATTGAAAACGACACTGAGATAAATATTGGAGGTCACAAAGTGCCTAAGGTAGGCAATTTTCTTTTCTTTTGTTAATATTAAATGGCCACATGCTTTCTAGACAGATCTTGTAGACTAATAATAAAATTTTAAATATTATTCAAATTACTAGAAAAAAATTAAAGTACGAATGGGTAGTATTTCATTCCAATTTTAAAATTAAAAAATATTGTCTAAGTGAATTAAATGAATGTGTGCATAAATGTCCTAAATTTTGAAGTTTTAAATATTGCGAGTGGGAAACTTAAAAATGGGTCATAATGTTAACTGGATGGATAAAAAGAAGGGTTTCATAACTTTAGAGCTCGTAAAAGGTAAACCAATGCTAGAAATGATCAGCAAGTACCTATGAACTGTAAAGAAGATTACTGAAGATTCAATGCAGGTTCGATAAGATAGACTGGTTGTTTTGGTTTTGTGTCATATCAACCACTATTGGTTACTCAATGCTGAAACCTAAATATTTTGTACGCATTTTTATGGCTTCAGATATAGATATTTTGTACATAATTTCATATTTTGCATTAAACAAACTATTGTTGGTCATTCTACTGTAAAATAGTGTTAGAAAAAGGTATTATTGGTAATAATTTTCTTTTTATAAAAATGTATTGCTGCTAATTTCACTACAAAAAATGTTGGTATTTTTTTATAAATATATACTGCTGATATTTTTACTATAAAAAAAGTTTTGATTTTTGTTTGGAAGTTCACTATTTGCCCATAGCCGTGATCCAAGCAGGTGCTACCACCCCACATCAGGGTTGATCTCGGAACAACAGCAATGGTGGTTCCAAGCACCACAAAAGCTCCAATCTCCCGATCAGAGGCCTTGCTGCCAGATGAATTTCGTTGTCATACCCAGGACTAAAGTCTGATAAGAGCTAGCTTAGGATGATCTCTTGCTACTCAGCATTCTATATAAATAGTGACCCTGCAAAAAAAAAAAAAAACAAAATCAAAACACCACAAAAGTATAAAAATAGACTTTTTAGAGTAAAATACCAACAATACATTCTTATATGAAAAAAATTTAGCAACAATACATGTTTATAGTAACATTACCAAATTACTTTGAAGCTCTCAAAAAAAATTAAATTTCAGCATTAAATGACCCATACACAGTTGATATGCCGTTAAACAAACAAATCAATCAACCATATAAAGAGAGTAGTTATAAAAAAATAAAACAAAAAAAAACAGTCTCTGCCGACGTCTGTATCTTTTAGACATTTTGCCAGTGAGGAAGTGTCAGAGAAGTACAAGATGGCAAGAGTTAAGTTCATATGCACTGCCCCAAAAACTGTAACTAAGGTCTGCTCAGCATAATTGTATTATAAACCCTGTGGGCATGGATCAAGCACAAATGTGGGTGAGCAGATGTCTGTGACAAAGATTTGTTAGTTACTCTAGTAGATGTGTGGATTGATGGGTTTTCTATGGCTTATCTACCTTTGCAGGCTATTTAAAGTCAGAATACATTTTTAGATTCCAAATTTATTTTTTATATATATATAATAACAATTTAGTGATACAAGATTTACTAATTAACCCACAGCTGGGGGGAAAAGAAATAGATTCATACCTTTCTCAAGGGCATTTGAAAATAAGTGAATATAACAAACCTAACTAGAATTGGAACTCTGCTTTCCAATTAACAATTCTAAGCCATTATCAATTACACTAACCACATACAGTCAAGCTTACAGCACCTGATATTCCCATCTAGGCACTGACCAGGTTTGATATTGCTTAACTCCAGTGATCGTAGCAGATAGGTCTGAGTAGGCAGATATTTAGGGGTATATAAGTGGGGTGCTGAAACTTCTTGGTCTGACCTAACAGAATATTTTTTTTTGAATCCCTTTTTTTTGCCAACAATTCTACTTTCATTTCCCCTCAAGCAAGGCAATAATGCCACACTGATGCAATGGGTTACTGAGTGTGTGAGAATATTAGAAAAAGAAAACATTATGAGAGAAAAATAAAAGAACAGGAATTAAGAAAGATAACGATTGATTTTTGCATTTAAATTTTTGAAGATCAAATTTGAGAGGAAAGCAAAAAGCCAGAAGAGAGCTTCACAAGTGAGAAGTGCGAGAGAAGAAACTGTCAGCATAGAACTTACAGTTTCACCTTCAAATGCAAAATGAGACCTTGCTGTCAATTAGAAATACACTTAAATTCATAGAGTCTAGGTACCATAGAGGAAAGTTCATCAGAACAATTACCATGAAAGTATTTATAGAAAAGGCACAGAAAAGCAACATTACGATGGTGGGTAAATGACTGAAGCTGAGATGCCAGGTGAGGACAAATAACATTGCAGATTTTTCTTTGTATTTTATCTAGAATCTCTAAATACATAATTCTTTATAGAAAAGGCATGGGGAAGCTATGCTACAATGGTGGGAAAAATGACTTAAACCAAGATGCCAAGTCAGGACCAATAATACTGCAGATTCTTGTTTGGGTTTTATGAAGAATCTCTAAATATATAGCAGAAGCACCAGACTATATGTCGCAACAATATTCTAAGCATAAATCAATAAAGAACAATATCAGTTGGTACAGTTTCAAATTTGATATTTGTAAATAAAAATAGGGTGAAAATAATTTGTAAAAAGTTTAACCTTCATTCCCAAGAAAAGGGGTTACTGAGTGCTAGAGAATATGAGAAAAAAAACTACCATTAAAGAAAGAGGTCAATAAAAGAATAATAATTAGGAAGACAGAAAATAACGATTGACATTGTATTTAAATTTTTGAAGATCAAAGTTGACTGGAAAGCAAGAAGCCAGAAGGGAGTTCCACAAGTGCAAGAGAAGAAACTGTTAGTATAGAACTTACAGTTATATATATAGCCATTTCAACTGTAAAATGAGGAGACCTTGCTGATAATCTAGTACTGTACTTAAATTAGTAAAGTCTAAGTACCAAAGAGGAAAGTTCATCAGAACAATTACCATGAAAGTATTTATAGAAAAGGCACAGAAAAGCTACATTACGATGGTGGGTAAATGACAGAAGCTGAGATGCCAGGTGAGGATGAATAACATTGCAGATTCTTCTTTGTATTTTATCTAGAATCTCTAAATACATATCAGAAGCTCACAATTACTGTACTAACAATTCTTTATTTCTATAATGATTTAGCAGGGAAGGTTCAAAGACGATAATAGGCTGCTTCACTGTTGTCTACACTTATTAAATCATCATTCAAATCAAGCAACTGACACAGAAATATTTTTTTTTTTCAGCTTATAAAAACTCCTTGAACTAATTATTATTTTAAGACTAGCTCGGTATTATTTCTCTAAACAGCAAAATAAAACTGCACAGGTGATTTTATTTATAGAGCAAAACAGGCATCTGGAGGTGTGGGAGAAAAACCAAATCCCTTCAAGAGTGATTCCAACTCTTATCTAGGGCACTGACTGATATTCTATCCAGAAAGGGCAACTATTAATATTATTCAGAGAACAATAATGCAACCCTATTCTACAATACCCTTTTCCTTACAGTTGAAATGTCATAAGTCTCTCACTGCTCTGCTCTATCTTTATTTCCATGGAAACTGTTCAGATGAGCTACCTTTCTTGGTTCTACCAGTTTTTCTTAGCTTCACGGTTAAGACTCGTCATGTTGCACACATTGTAGCAAATAAACTTCATTCTCTTTGTATTCCATTAGTTCCACTTGAGCAGCTTCTTTTTATGAATCACTGCTTTAAGTGAATATTGTTTAAATTGTGGTCAAAAAAAAAAAAAAAAAAAATTAAAAGAAAACTGTTAAATCCATTATCTCATGTTTTTAACACTAGGATGGCCGAGGTGTCATTTTCGACACCTTCAAATTTTCAACAAATTGCTATGGAATAACTAGTTTTGGTTCGATGTTGAGGCTATGGACAATTATTGAATTTTAGCAAAGATGCTTAACAGACTTAATTCTTTAAAAAATATTCAGTGGAATAGCTGATATTTGAGGTTTTACCTTGAATGGCCAAGGTGTCGTTTTTGACACCTAGGCTATTTATAGGGTAAATGCATTGAAAAATTTCTCACAAGCAATAATACTTGTGTTTATGTCCCC